CTGTGGTGTATGCTGAAGTGGAAAAGTTTCAGCATATTGTGACATGTTGACCCCTACCTCCCCAGCTGCACATAGCGGTAACGTAGCGCTCGCGTAATAGGCGAGTAATCACCCCGCAACTCTCCCCGCGGTGACGTCACGAACGGCGCCGAGTGAAGCCGAAGTGAGCCGATGTTAGCCGAGTCCTAGCATCCTGGTCGCTATGCAAAGCGAGTCAACAGCGATGACGTCACCAAGGGCAGCACGGGTAAACATGATTGCGAGAGATGACGGTGGTAACAGCGGTTACTACCGCTAGCGTTGCTAGCAACACAGCGCCAGGCAACAAGGGTGCTTATTACGTGGCCGTTTTCTGTATTGTCCGATCGAGGCTACATGAGGCGCAGCGAAGGCTATTCACAGTCAGTCCTGGAGCTACCTCCGAGTTAGTTCCGAGTTAGCCAGCAACCAGTCAGTTGTATTGTGGCATTTGGAGTGTAGTATTTGTGATACTGCAGATAGCAGTAGTTCTAAAACTGTCAATTGTGTGATTGTAAGTGCGAATGTGAAATAAAATTCGCTACATCAAATACAGCGTGAAGTTATTTGTCGCGTTATACACCCGATACGTGACAATATGCTTTGGCTAAGGCCCAAAGTCAAAATTATGCATTAGATGAAGGCTGCAACAATGTGAGGATGAGAATATGAAACCTCTGTGGGGATGAAATATACCAACATCTCAGCTTAAAAATTACAGCAAAATAATGCATGTCTACTTTTCCCTTTGACCTTTCCCGTTGGCATGTCCACATAGCCAAGATCTCAACAAATAAGAATGGCCAGCCTTGAATTAACTCTGGGACAACAAGAATATTTCTGTCATTCTGGGGGATAAGGGGAATGCAAAGGTTGGACTAGGCAGACAAGATCAGTGCCCTCCTAATGATGACACTTGAAGCTGTCAGTTGCAGCTTCATCTGACAAGTGGAACAGCACACCAAGAAACTTTCTTAACACTCATCCATCTCAAGTGAAATTAAGAAATTTCTGATCCCAAAAGAATGAGGGCTGCAACTTCTGTGGCTTATCTAAGATCCACAAGACTAATGTACCTTTATGCCCTGTATTCAGAGCAATCAGTCTACAGTTTTCAAGCTTACCAGATACCTGCATAGGACTGTCTCTCCTCAATTCCAACTTTGTTATTCCATGCAGAAAATCTCTGACATTTGATGTAGATAGTGGCTCAGCTCACAACCTCTGGCATTGATATTCTTATCAGCTTAGGTATGGAATCCCTCTTCATCAGAGCCTCTGTATGTGACACCATTAACATTATTTGATGGCACCTGAACCCGTCATACCTCACACAGGACCTCACCACAGTCTCCATGTACCAGGGGAATTTCTAAAGTCAGATGAAAGGTACTGTCATCCCCCCCCCCTTTTCTCTCATAGACAAAATGTTCATGAAAGCTTTCGAGGAAGAAGCCAACAGTACCAGCCAGATGAAACTGAAATGTTGATGCAAATATGTGAATGATATTGTCACATGTATGAGTGACTCTCTACAGGATTTTGGATAATTTGATTTACTGACCACTTATGGACTGTAACTATAAGTAATTGTAACAGTCTCACTGAGTTACACATTCCAATATCACTGTAACTACAGCACACTAAAAGACTTCTCACTCTTCACTAGTCATTTCCTGGCAGTGCATTTCGACACTGTCTTCTTATGACCGTACCGTCCGGCACATATCCCACAACTGAACTAAGTCTTAACTTCATCCCAATTATAACTGCTCAGCATGTATCACTGTAGAAAACACTGTTTCCAACTGTTCCTCTGTTGTTGCATGTTGATTTGTTGCTGTGGAGACATGTTTGTGAGTGTTACCCAGTAACGATCTGCATGTTACAATATTTGTGAGTTAGCCATGTGGACTCCCTACCCAAAGAAAAGTCACCCATTGGAACCCATGTACCTCAACATCAATACTATACTGCAGCATCCTGTTCACTGTGTATTCTCCATCATAGTACTCACAAATTGCACAAATTACTTTCTTCACTAAACAAATTTTATGTTTTACCTGGTACCTGTTGGTCTCAGCTTTTTTCAGCATTTGTCCACAGTTTGGTACATTTTCTGGTATTTATTTTTTTAAACTGATTTTCCAGAGTCTTACTTTCTTACAAATTGGACCCACAATGTTTAATTGAAAGTAGTGACATATTTCCAGCCCATCTATCAAACCCATATAAATCAGTACATGAATATATGCTTGCTTTTCCCTAACATTAGTGCATTCCTGCCTTCAGTCAGGTCAGTTTATCTGGTAGTAAGGGGCATGTGAAAGTTAGTTGAGCAACTCGTTCATAAGTTTGTCTTCAAACTAGCAAGAAAAAATTTTTTTTTTCAAAGAGGTGTCTCAGAGTGCAGAATCTTTAGAGGCAAAACCTATGTTATGCCACTGAAAGTATTCCTTCTTTTGTGTGAAGGTGCTGGGAAGACCACACTAGTTTTATGTTCTGAACTTGATTTTTCAGCATGTTCATGAACCCACAATTTATCTGAAGAATCACTTTTACAGCCTAATTATTCATCTGATACATACATCACATCATTTGCTTTCATGACTTGTACAGCTTTTGAGTCAGTGGTCTTTGCCTCATTATTTTTTTTATTGCTATTGGGGTGGGACTAAGTCCCTTGTACTGCGGCCACTTCTGCCCTATTGTACCAGCCCCAGATGATAGGTGAGGGTGACTGTGGAATGAAGATTGGCAGGGGAAACTGAAGTACTCGGAGAAAACCTGCCCCAGCGCCACTTTGTCCACAACAAATCCCACTTGACCATCCCCAGGACCAAACCTGGGCCACCACGGTGGGAAGCCAGCGACTAACCACTTGAGCTATTGAATTGAATTTATTTACATTCTATAAATCCTAAGCAGGTTAGTACCTTTGGATACAGAACAAGTCAAAAGTTTACATAAGTACAGGCAATTTTAGCTTAAAAATTAATATAACTTAATTTTACATCATTCTCTATTTACATTGAAGTATTCATCTAAAGAGTAGAAGGAATGAGCATGTAGATAATTCTTTAACTCTGATTTAAACTTTTTAGTATCATTGCTCAAGTTTTTAATACTTTGTGGCAGATTGTTGAACACTTTTATGCCAGTAAAGTAGACTCCTTTTTGATATAATGATAAAGTCGATGAGGGTAGGTGGAAGTTATATTTTTGTCTAGTATTCATGTTATAGACATCAGA